AATGCCAATAATGTCCATACTGCTGTAGCAGAAGAGTAAATTAATGCTTGGGATTCAGAAAAGAAGGCTCAAACTATTTTAAAAATCTGTTAAAAGGCAAGAGGAAGAAAGAAGAATTACCAGCAGACAGGATACCACTTGCATCTTGTTACCGTCAGCTTGCAGCTGTAAGCAGCTATTCTAACCTCTGAGATGGCTCTCAACTCTTAGCAAATTTCCCAACATCCTATTTAATGCTGTTTGGTGAGATAAAAAGCCATCCACTCGTGTTCCCACCATCCTATGGCAGAGTTTCATGTAGGTAAAAAGAAGCGTTTATCACTCCTCCCAAGCCTTCCAGCTTCTTTCAAGCCATTCAAACTGATTCTGCTGGATCTTCCTTTGGTTACAACAGAACACTATCATCACCTCATGAAGCACTTGCCATCACAAGTAGACCAAAGGCTCTCTAGAGATCTTTACAAATCAGCAGTTTATCTCTACAACTGCCAGTGCTCAGCACAGTCTCCTTTGCTGGCTCTGTTGCTGTCTTCCATTCCACACAGGGTATGCATGTAGGCTCCATCTTTTTTTTCCTACCCCTTCCATTCCACCTGCCAAAGCTGACTTCATTCTAGCAACCATCTCAAACAGACACAGTGAAGCTCCTGACTCAGTGAAGACAATCCACCTACCTTTAGGGGGTGCTGGCTGGATGTTAACAACTGGTTGACGCTTTGGCAGTGGCACAAGTGTGGGCAGAGTCTGAATAATGATGGTTTTAGCGGGGATGCCAACGCTAGCCTGAGCCTCGGGGACAGCAGGCAAGAGGGGTTTGGGTTGTACTGAAGGCCTGGACCCCATCTGACTACACCTCTTCAGGGTCCTTGCAGAATTGTTTGCTAGGAAAGGAAAAAGAGTCAGAGTTGGACCAGAAAATAAAGAATTCAAGGAGGAAGAGAATGGTTTTTGGTATGGCTTTTTTTTTTTTTTTTAATCCATTTATAATACTTGCTAAAGATACACTGATCACAAACCCAAGTCAGAAACGGATAGATTAGTGTCTGTGAGGTAAGCACCTGCATGCCAGACAACAGACACACCATCTGTGGAATCCAAGTAACTTAATCCTTCATACCAGAGCGGGAGGTGATGCTGACAGCAGGCTTCTTCCCTCCTTCTCCTTCAGGGGATGCAGGGCTTCTGCAGCTCTTGCTGTAGAGGGAGACAGGAGACATCTGGGAGCTACAGCTGAAGTCCCCATCATCCTGCAGAGAGAAAGTAGATGAGATTAACACGTCAGAAACACATAAAAGTGTCTTCCAGCAGTTCAGATTATAACAGCCTTTCATCACATCTGTGCTGCTGCTTCAGCAGACAGGAGACAGTTTTATTCTGGCCAGTGCTAAGCACTGAAAACCAAAGTACCACCTCTCCTTATCAGCAGAGTGAAGGCAGGATAGAGGCCAGCAACTGCTAGACTTTACAAGGCATTTGTTTGGCAAGCAGGCAAATATACACAATGGAAGAATCAGAGCTGAACACGCTCTTTTTAGACTGGGTCACAAAAAGAGCAGAAGGAGGCAGAAGGAACTTCACTGAAGTGAAGTTGTTTCTGCAAGGCTTGGAAAAATAAGCTGGTTTGTCTTATGCCATGAAGTTGGTCAGACAAGTAAATCACTGGGCTTTTTGTTTGCCACAGCTGGCTCTGAATGAGCACTGCTATCTGTGTTACATGGAGGTTTCTGCATACAGGCACATTCTGCACTGGAGAGTCCACAGATGACGGAGAAGGAACCGAACAATTTGAAGAAGCTGGTGATAAGGGTTCTGTCTTCACACTTTCATCTGCAAAAGGCAGATAAAGAAATGTTACTGTACAAGTGTAATAACAATGGGAGATCAGCATAAGAACACACTTGCCCTACACCAGCTATTTAATTCCTGAGACAAGGCACAGCATAAAAGATGAGATCTAAGATACTGAACAGCCCAGCTTGTAGAGCGTCCTCTCCAGCTCTACTCACCCTACATAAACACAGCATGACTTCTCACCAGAGTGAAATGTTACAGGACATCAAATAGTTCCACTTAAGTTACCACTATCCTAAAGTTCTAACAGCTCACCCTTGTGGGGTGGAGTGGAATGGTCACACCTGCAAAATACAAAAGGAAAATTACCTGCATAAATGTGGCCTGTGATATTCCAAAGATCTGAGTCCCAAGACATCAAATCCAAATCAAAATGGAAGTTATAGGGATCATTTTCCTGAAATGAAAATTCAGAAAAAGGAACAAAAGAAAAAGACAACACACACTGAAACCACCACTCATTATGTTTGCATTCTGACGGCTCTAGAAAATAAAACAAAACTAACACTTCAGTTGCCTTAAGGCAGAGAGAGACAAAAGCCCCTAAGGGGGCAATTCTCAACGGGAATACACAAGACAAGGCTTCTCCTAAAGCTCAGAGCTATAGGAAAGGAATATAACAGTAATTAGTGATGATCTTAAACTGGTATTAGTCATTTGTAAAGTGAAAGTTCTAAGTCCAGTCACTGAACTACCTTAATAAACCACACATTTTACAACTTGTTGGCATCCTCTCCTTGCCTTGAGTGAAAGATTTACTTCATGTTCTTCCATCAACAGATCTCCAAGCACTTTATAAACACAAGCAGTATCAGTCTCAGTTTACCAGCACGAAAAGAGACACAAAGACTGACTTGCTCAAGATCTGACAACAGTATGTATTAAGCCTTCCTATACTTGAGTAAACTAGCATCATCATCTTCTAAAGCCAGGGACACCACTTGCTTCTGCCAACAGAAAAAAAAACAAAACAGTGACTAAAATAACTTCATATATGTTATTTATTAAAAGATCTTTAAAAGAGTTACTAGGTTTTTGCTTGATTTTTTTTTTCTGCTGATGCAACTGTGTCAGTTTCCTACTCAAATGTAAGATTTTTACGACCTCTAAATAATATATAATATATAATATATATTATTATATATATAAATTATGATATATATTATTATATATATAAATAATATATATAATGTAATAAATATTACATACTAAACTGAAACTAATATAGAGCAAAGATTTTGTTGCTAAAAAGGTATCCTATAAATGTACTTCTCTTTGTGTTCTCAACTTGCCTAGTAAGGGTAAGCTCAGAAACTCTGCAGACTGCACAGAAATTAGTATTTTCAGGGCAGAATGAAGAAAAAGCTAAACAGAGCATATCTATAGGAAAAAATTGCCAAAACACACAGCCAGAGTTGTGCAGTAAGAGCCTCCACACAGATAACTAATGCTGGCCTGCTGACAGGCAGAGTCATTCCCTTGTACAACGCAGAAATTCCCAAATCTCCTACAGTACCCAGCTCTACAAGACCTGTAGGAATGGTCTTAGGACCTGAGGCTTGTGTTTGAAAACCCAGGGGTTGTGCAGAAGGTGGGTTAGGACACGGTGAACAGAGAAAAGGCAGGGGAAGAACAAAAAGTGGAGTATTCATGAAACAAACACCCCAGGGCAAAAAAAGCCATATGTACAATTGGAGAGCAAAACTCGAGGGCTAACGCATCAGGCTGCATGAACACAGAGAAAAGGCAGAGGGACAACACCACGAGGAGCCATCTTACAGGCGAGGTGATAAAGCACAGCAGCGGTGGGCAGGGATGTAACACACCCAGGGGCCTCCTTCCCTGTGCCCCAGAAACGCTCTCCCGGCAGCTCCTCCCGGGCACGGCGCCCCGGACTTTCACCCTACGCTCTCCCCCTTAACCCAGGCTTTGAAATCCCCAGCGTCAGACACCGACAGTTTACCAGCAGACGGACGGAG